CAGTTTAAGTTTCATTGTCAATTTCAGTTGGTTTCGCGTTTTCTAACATTGTTTTTATACCTTCGCGCAAAATTATCTTGCCCAACTCTTCATCGTGATTTGACGTTGGAAAAGAGTATTTAGAACGCAATAGGTGCTTGTGACTAGAATGAAAGAATTCTGTAGATAAAAGTTATCCCAAACTTTCTTGAAATCTTTCGACTAAATAAAATGTCTGGCACTTTTTGTAACATTCCACTGCTTATCGATGGTATCAATCCGTCGAAGATCTATCACCACTCTTTTAATGATAATGTAGCCCCTAACGATGCAAGTTTGACAACGCATAAAACTTGCCGGACGCAAGTGTACCAACTATGTATGTCAAGACTGCAAAGTAAAATTTGATTTGTCTATCCAGACTCTTAGCCGAGTCTGAGCAAAGATTGGCTAGTTTAATTATATTATTACACGTCCTATTACCGATCAATACAAACCAATATCCGGAATTGCCTATGGTCGTTTGATATATAGGAAAGATGACATGCTCAGCAACGACTACTAATACTGGATTAAAGCTAGCCGTGACAGTTTCCGAATACATAATGTATAAAAAACATAACATAGCATCGCAGATACCGACCAAGAACCAAGGTCCAACAAAACGTCAAGCAAGAAGCAGAACGAAGTCGTCGATTCTCAGCCAGGAGACATCACTTACTCCATAATCAAAGAACAACGAAGAACGACAAATAAAACGACCATATATTAAATCAATTTGCGTAATTTTTTATTCTTTTTGGTTTACACTTTAAATTTATCTGCGCTGCAACTTATTCGGTTAAAGCTAGATACTTTAGCAGTTACGCCGTCATATTATATCAAAGTACAAAAAACGTCTGCATTCCGCCTCGGAAATGCGGCTCGAAACGTCGGAAACTTATATAATATATTTCTATTACGCACAAGCACTCAATTTTGCTCCGTATTAGAAAAAAAAAACGTTATTATACATGATGGTAACGTAGCGCATCTTCATGTCGCCCGACCATTTACATTCATTTGAATCAGCCGAATTCGATTACAGTATAACCGAATTTTAATGATGCAAAAAATTAAATAAAAAAACTTGAATTAAAAAATGTCGGACATATGAATTTTGAAATTAATCTGTATGACCGAACCGCAGTGTATGTAAAAATATTAGTATCAAGGTCTATGATACATTCATTACATGAAGACATTTTTCCTCATTTTTGTCAGTTATATATGACTGCAACCGTATATGGAATGAAATAGTTACTACTTTGAAAGCAGACAGCTTACCTAATGTAATATTTTATCTGAACTTTACATTGTTTTTTTAAGGCCAGTTCTTATACCAATTACAATATATATATTAACATGCATATCAGAACATATTATGACAGTAAAACCACCTAATAATAGTAGCGAAAAGCTGATTGGCTCAACCGTAATAGTAAAGACTAAAATTACCAAATAGACATAAAAATGTACGCCTACTTGGACTAACATAACAGGCGTAAAAAGCTAATAATAATGATAATTAACTTACATTATAAAAACCTGATTGGTTTGACCGTAGTAATACATGATTTCCGAAGCGTAGACTACACGTATATCGATGACATATAACAACCAATTAATTTAACACAGAATTCAAACCTAAAATGAATGTGTTACCATCGATAGGCATACAACAAAACGCAAGAGTCACGTATTTAAACAACTCACTGATAGAAAAAGGTATCTGCAATGGTACAGTTGGGATTATTACTGACTTCGACAGAGACACTCTTTCAATCAAAAGTAGCATTTGTATACACAGTGGAATAGTCCATCACTGGATATCCCGTCAAATATCTTATTTTTATACAGCAGGCGGAAGGCGTCACGTACACAATTTCCCCCACAAAAATTATTTGCACTTACCCTAATACTAAACAATTCGACTGGTCAAGCATATGTCGCAATAAGCTGCTGTTTGTCATGGGAAAATTTCAATATAATTACCCTGCATTTATTACAGACAGAAGTATAGTTGAAGAATACTGATGCCTTCAACAATTACCAGAACAGTCACTTAGACAAGTTACTCCAACTACTATTTAAACAGCCATCACACATATCATATCAATTCTAGCCAAACTTAATAAAACACCCATGTGTGTTATTAACTACTCAATACGATAGAAATAAAACTATTAAAAATCGGGTTAAACATCCATCTGTTTATATTGCACTATGCCCGTCGACGCAGTCGACCGGGCACAACAAAACTTCCCTAATTGTTGCAATAAGAGTGCGTGTACAGTTTCCAGGCTTTTTAATGCAGTACTCGCGCTAATAACCGTTATTTCAGTACTGTCATCCGCGTTCTCTAAATCATTACTATTCTCGTCTTTAAAAATCTCTGCAACTCTATAACTATTTGTTCACTATCTGGAATCTCTTAAAAACATTTTCTTCGGAAACCGCGAGAAATTCTTCAATTTCCATTGACTCTGAAAATTAAGATTTTTGAGCGCTCTGCAGATTTCATCAAGAACCAAATCGTTCATCGGAAACGTTTTGTAAGTTGACATCATTAGTTTCAGAAAGAATGCCAGTATTGTTTCAGCCTTAATCTCTTCCTACGCTTTACTAATGTATCGAATAGTTTGAAGGACATCCATTTTTCTGCTGTTTTATCTCTTGTTTTGCTCTAACATCCGGCTATAAATAAATTGTTATATTAAACTCTCTCTTAAATTTCAGCAGCGAATTTGAAAGCCATTATAATTCTGCCATCCATAGGTTGGACCTTCGCAGTCATATTAGGTGAGAGAAAATGTATGTTGACGTGCTGAAGATTCAAACCCTCCAGTCTATGGCTTGGACAATTATCTTTGAAGAGCAGAACGCGATTATCTCCATACTTATCAGCCACTTGTTTATCGACACACTGTGACGTATTTTACTATTATTTCGATATGTTACTGGTAGGTTATGAAGGCTGATGTTTTAAAACAACGTGGTTTTGCATATTTACCAATGACCAATGGACCTAATTTATGTGACCCATCAGAGTTTGCACAGAACGCGATAGAAAGATGTTTCTTATCTTTTTGCGACCGGCAAGACGCTTTGTGGCTAGCATTATATCTGGCTCTAGTCTATAAAATTGGTGTAATATATATTATATTTTTGCGTTGAACTATTTACAAAGACATATTTAATTACTGATAGAAGGGTCCTGTCTCGCCATGTTACAGATTTATTCAGGCGGGTAGTTACCGCATATATTACGCAATTGTGGTAAAGCCTCAGAAACTACTCCGGATCAACAGATGCTCCTTCTCTGTGCAGTTTAACTCGGTAAATATAGAGACGCTTTTGAATTTTTGAAGCCAACCAACGGAGAAATTTAATGCGCCTTCAGGGATCTCTAGTTATTGAATTTAAGAACGGTACGAGACAGAAATATTGATTCAGACGATGAGACATGCACAGATGAGGATGTAGACGATAGTGAGAGTGATTGTGATGATGTAATAGTCACGGAAGACTTTGACGAGGAGGAATCTGTGCTGTTACTAGATTCAGCAGTCAGTAATTGGGCGTTGTTGTTTGTGGACAATTACAATGTGCAAGACCACATTGCTAAATGCAAGCGATTATATAAGTGAGCGCTCGCCCATCAGTTGACATGTGTGCCCGCTTTGGCATTATGTGAACCATTCAAGTGCCCTTTGTACATCATTTTCTCCTCCAGTTCCATTGTCATAACACATACCAAGATTATTTTGTGCATCAGCATATCCTTGTTCAGCAGCTTTTTGATACCATTCAACTGCCTTTTGCTCATCTTTATCTATGCCAATTCCATACTGATAACAGTAACCAAGATTATTTTGTGCATTAGCATTTCCTTGTTCAGCAGCTTTTTGATACCATTCAAGTGCCTTTGTACATCTTTTTCTACTCCAGTTCCATTATTTTGTGCATTAGCATATCCTTGTTCTGCTGCTTTTTGATACCATTCAACTGCCCTCTGTTCATCCTTTTCTACTCCAATTCCTCTTTCATAACACACACCAAGATTATATTGAGCATTGGCATCTCCTTGTTCAGCAGCTTTTTCATACCATTCAATTGCCTTCTGTTCACTCTCAGAAATAGTAGTCATTACAAACGTTGGTTATATATTCTGGGAAAGTTTTTAGATTGTTTGTATTCATGCATATGGGCATACTTTCATGTAACCAATGAAAAAAAAGTAGGGGCAAATTCATTATCTCGTTGTCGAGAAACCTTTTTTTTTATAAAGCAGATTAAACATTAGCTGAGCCCACATAAGAATAGATGGGGGAATTAGGTGTCCAAGCCGCGTGTTTGGACTTGCGCGTTTTTTGTAACACATTTTTTTTCAGAATATTTTACTATCTTGTATAATACCCGGGTACTTCATCAGGGAGGTACTTTAATGAAAGGAGTATATACTTTACCTCTGTATAATTATTGTTGTTGTTGCGCAAGCACGCTGTGTTACTATTACTACATTCTGAAGTTGGATAGGTGTAACGGGTCTAGTTCATTTCCCCGACAGTTCACTTCCCCGACAATTATTTCCAATAAATATTTCGGCACTAAGATAATTTCAGCAGGAATTGTCGGAAATAATTGTCGGGGAAATGAACTGTCGGGGAAATGAGGTGTCGGCTCCCGATGTAACATTAAAAAATTGTATGATTACGTAATTATGAGGACAAGAATATACGGCATAGAACCCGTATGTCTATATTGTAAAATTAACGTCTTATGTAATAAACAGATAAGTCAATTTAAGTACTAATTCAGCACGCAGTAATCGGTTTGCGGCACTGAATTTAGTTCCTTATTATGTTTTACCTAAATTTAGCCTAAGACGGAATTATGTCAATTCTTTAACAAATTTTTACCATGTTAAATTGTATTGACTTCTCTCTTATACTTATGTCAATTTATTAACTGAATATCTGCTTATTCAACATGTTATTGTAGCCACACGCCATGCCAACTTTGTAAGTACAAACATTTTTTTACTACACAAGTAAGAGTTTTTTAGTTACGGCATTTGCTTAATTTTTTATAGTATTATGACATTTTCGTTGGGACCAAGAAACCCACTCTTAAATTTGGCTACGTTAGAGAAACCGCACTTAAGTAATTTTGTGCATCCCTGCCTTCAAACCTCCTTATGGTATATTTCATCAATATGCTACGAGTTTGGGGAGATAAGCACAAGAAATTACAAGCGAGAATGCACCGACAGAGTTGGATATTTAATGAAGTAGACAATGCCAATCTTCCACGTAAACACTTGCATAAATAATACTCATAGCAAATTACGAATTTAGTTGCTGGCTCGGAAAGTCAAGGAAGGCTTTGAAGAATCAAGAGCTCAAAAAGGCCGTCAAGACTTTCTTTCATGAATGGTTTGAATGTAACAAATGATCTATAGAAAATGCTTTCACCTACTCATCTTAGTAATTGAAATTTATTGAACTACACATAGTGAATAATAAAACGAAATTTATAATTACAGTTAAATAACACTTTCATGTAAAACTACTCCCACATACAAATAATCTTATGTTCGCAAATTTAATATATAAACAGTACTATTAGTTCTGATAAACATAACAAAATATCCGGTCACATATTACCAGGAGTATAAATTAGGACATTGCATTTTTAAAAGTGTCATTGCTGAATGAATGACTGCCACTACCACCGCCCCGCTATAGCTACCAGCAACATTATTACTACCACTAGCACCACCAACACTACATTTATTGTTAGGAAGACATTGCGTGCCATGCGGACAACATCCCCCGTCAACATCTTGACATGCAACTTCTCCGCTCGTACAATTGAGCCTAGGGTCAGCACAAGTATAGTCAGCAGTGCAATATTGATATGCGAGGCAGCAAGTGTTACCACACGTTATAAAGTAAATATCAGAACATTCGCAGCCGTAAGTTGAGCATGTCGCGCCTGCAGGACAACATCCAATGCTACCCGGACATGGAGCGTGGGTCGGGTCGTAGCAGGTAGTATCGTTCACCAACATGGAAAACCCAGTATACTTTTCACTAAGGTTTCTTGTTTCAATATATGCAATGTTAGATCTACGTTGTTGCCATGATGATGTAGCGGAAGCAGAGATTACTGCAGTGAGAGCGAGTAATAGTGTTAGAATCTTCATAATGGACGTCAGCAGGGTTTATGCTGAATGTAGAGTGGTCATGACACGCGATTTAAATATAAATTACAATTCTGATTGCAACATTACACTGCATTTTATGAATTAAAAGATTGGGTGAACGGGACCAATTCGTGGTAACATATCGATGACGTAATAATATGTGTAATGGTTAATCCTAGCTTTTTTATGTAACTGAATCAGTCACATATGCAACTGTTCAGCCTTCCCAATTGAGCTTCTTATCGACATCCTATCGCTACTACCCTCTTCCTGTCTCCAACATGTCATTATGCGTGTTAACCGCAAATTTAGAATAATAGCCCACAAACTGTTGGCTGCCCGAGTGGATCAAGCATTTATTATTCAAGAATATGCTCTGTCGGTAATGATGGAATAATAGTCATTCTTTTCCCACGTTGGGGAGGAGGAGCAATAATTGTCCGATTCACGTTATCATTAACTAACTATTTTGTTTCCAAAAAGTTGCAGACTTGGATTGAAGATAACGAAAAACCATATGCGCTCAATTTTGGGGCAACGATTGTTCATGGAGAATGCTACGCAATGCCATATTGCGCTAGCAAGTGAAAAATCGCATGCATACGTATTTTTACCCAACAAATCCATAAATGCTGTTCGTATGGATCCGTATTAAGCCAGACAAGCTCAGGAAAGTTGACCTCCTGGCAGAAGGCCAGTTGCAAATTACACAAGAAATGTTGCCAGAAGTAGTATCCATTAGATTGGATGATGATGACAAAACTGAGATTATCGGAAAGTATTTGGATGAAAGCGAAGATGGTTTACATAAAGTCCAGATCGATAAAATCATTGCCGGAATGGAGTTAATATTTCAGCAAGAAGACGTTGAAGTATATAACTTTGCACAAGGTCAAGTCATCGTAAGACAGGAAGAGTAAACATACAAATTAGTCAGACCGAAAAGGTCTTGTTGAATGGAATGTAATGTGAATCGTTATTATTATGTGTTTTTGTGAGTTGAAATTTAGAACTTGTGTGACATGTAGGGCCACAAACAATGCTTGTCATACGAGAAAATCTCAAGTCTATTGGATCCCGCCACTGTTTCACTAATATTCATTCCCTACCATTTTGCTTCGTTTTTATTGTTTTTTGTAATTAAGTAAACAAGCGTACATGCCTTCCCCCAGAATGTAATTGTTTCAAACTATTTTTGTGTCTCTTCGCCGCATACCAACCCGCATCATCTACGTAAGTTTACATTCGGCCTAATCTTTTTGTAGGCGTTAATTGCTTTATGAATACTTATACAGACAAACGAATTTGCTATTCTGTTGCGCATCCCCTATCGCTACATGCAAATATTATGCATGTAAACTTCTATATTGAAAGAGCAAGCCCCCCCCCCCCCGACCAAATTAATGTTATGAACCAATCAAACCCTAACCTTTAATGAATTCTAACATTAAAATAAGTGAGTTTCAAAGTAAAATATTAATTACACTTACGATTATTATTTACAAGTTGTATGCAATCTACATAACAGTTGTTTCAGAATTTTGTGCGCCAGACTAAATTTCTACGACAAGTTACATTTACATGCATTAATTGTTGATTGGGCTACAAACGAACCTGAAGATTACCAAACTTTTTAATTCGATTCTAATCCGATACAATAGCCAGGCAGCTGATGAAAGTGATGTTACCAGAGACTTGACTTTAATGAAGCTGTTTTCCCAGAACAAACTAATGATTTATCAACAATAAATTTTAGAGATTGCGTTGCTGGGCGCTCCTATATGCTATGCTTTTAAAATTTTCTGCATATTAATATACACAGTGACATTCACTTTAACGAAGATAGTTTATAACGAGGTATTTTTCTGGAACCAGTTCGTTCTTAACAGAATAAACGAAGATTTATAGATAAATTCAGTATAATAATATAACGAAGATTTCAAAATCCATGCATAAATAAAGCCATTCACTTGGGCAAACTTTTTTTGTATAATAAAGTTTAACGAAGTTTGTCATAGGAATTAACTAATCAGAATCATCGATTTCAATTTCATAAATAAAGATCTAAAGCGGTGTCTAAGACCGTAAAAGCTATTGATAGTATTGACAGTCTTCTGTTATATTTACAAGGAATTAAATATAGAATTGCAAACTTTAAGCAAGTTACATAAAAGCATTTTTATGCAAAAAAGAAGACAAACAATCATTCATGGTTATTTTAATCTCGAATAAATCGACAATTTTTATTGAATATTTGTATTGACTGAAATATTACTTACTTTCAGAATAACGAATCTTTCAGATTACCGAAGAAATTTGCGAAACAGACGATTTTGTTAAAGTGAATTTTACTGTGTAGTCTTTATTGGATGCTACCAAGAAAATTAACGTTTATCTCTAAAACATGTCAGACATTTCAAAATACGCATATTACTAATTTTTAACGCAAATTTTAAAATTTATATATCTGTTCTGACCCAAATCGAAATTGACCCAATTCGGAATAGGGTTTATGCACAACGGTTGGACAGTTATCGTTTGTTTGTACACAAGGAGAACATATACTTATTGCATATTCTAGTGCCT